CTCATCTGTAGGATAAAGCGATATGAACACCTTCCTCTATGACGTGTAATTCTGATGTGCTCATTATCGCCGCAAGACTTTGAACAACCTAGTTGCTGAGCAGTCAGTCAAAGAAAACGATCACCGAATCATGATACAACCGTAGTATAAAGGGATCGACGGGGTAAGGGGTGAAAAGTCCGCTACTCTCACGATTTTTACGAGCTTTTTCTCAGTTGCGATAATTTGTTAACCTCCTAACGTAATAGGTGTCACTATTGTCCTTTCACAGCAAGGTTCTTTTTGCCATACAGATACTCTACTGCGGTCTAAGCTCCAGGGTTCCTTACCAGGACCTCCTTAACCTTGATGTTCCTTTGTTTTCTAGATTATTGTTCCGATTACTCATTCAATTACTGTTGAATGTTCAATTACCCAAGTTTGAAAATTGACACGCCTGTCCAGGTACAAGCTTCACAAGTAGCCAAGGGAAAATAAGCCACCTCATGACCCTCCTTTGCACCGGTAATGTCGTTGAGTAGACTTCCACCAGCTCAACACCACCTGTCCAAGGTTCTCCCGAAACTGGCTGTCAGCGTGGAGCAAGGGAAACGAAACCAGCAAATTTCACACAATCTTCCCATTCCGTTACTTTAATTGTGGACATTGTAAAAATTTCCCTAGATTTCGAAGCACCTCTGCCATGACCCTTCTCTAATACGACTACCAAACAGATATCCAAAAATCACAAGTAGGGCTCCTTTACTGGAAATTTCTCGACAGACGGTTGACCCTGTAGGTAGCATACAAACTATGGAAGCACTACACCTTTTTCCATGTCCGGAATTGTTCCTAATGAAGAGCATTTTTGCCTAGACAGACAGAGCTCTCTTCTTGTTTCATCAAAGTAGAGTAGAGCTTTTTCAGTTTCTTCACGCAAATGTGCTCAGATTTATTCGGCAAAGGGATACCATACTCTGCAGAATTCAATCAACAGGCTGTGCAAAAAACCAACCACCAATATGGTGGCCGACACAATTTCAAGGTGATATTCGATCGTTTCCAAAATAATGTATAAAAAAGAAAAACCTTATAGGGGACAAATATGGTGATGACACATGGCTCGCTCGATCCATGGCATGCTCTCCGTAATGAAACGTGTGACCCTTCCAATAACTGCTTTTTGATTAAAGGTGAGTGTAGCAAATAACTTGATAAGAAGTGAGTGGGGGATTGTGCACAAACGGCTAGGGGAAAAGCTCAACCCCTTAACGGCTGGTGGAAGCAATTGCTGAGCTGGAAGGGGCTTGTGGAACTGAGCACATTCTTAGTACAATCACGTGTTATTTATTGTGGAGGTCTAAAGTAAAACCAAAATTTATGGTACTTTTCCAGTGAGAACTAATCGATTGATTTAATTAGAATTAATCCTTATAGTGTACTCAGTTGCTCGGATTTATTATCAAAACCATGCCGATCTTCGTTATCTTTTTGTTATCATTATGAAGCACGGCTCTAAATCAATGACGATCAGACGGACGCTGTTTCTGTGCACCATTTCCATGGCTGCGTTCATAGTTCGCGACTTCGGAGACTAGGATAGTAGGATATTGAGCGATTAGCGATCGTAAGGTAGGAGGATTAGGTAGTAGTAGGTTGCGCTGAATATACAAGATAGGTATTGATTGAAATCGTTGGAGCGTAGATTAAACTTCGATACGCAGGACCTGGTCGAAATAGAATTAGTACGTATTTGTTCAAGTTACTTGAGGATAGTAGGGATTAGTGGTAGGCAAGGTTCCTTCATTGTCTCACCATATTGTATCTCTATAGTATTTAATTCTGGTACCACTCAACCCCCACTAAACTCCGCCCACTTTTCCCTCCAGAAATGCCGTCGAGCGGGAGAGGTATATACCCACTATGGAACAGTAAAAATTTAAAAAATTTAGCAAAATTCCCTAATTTTTCACCAATTTACCACACTGTTAGCCTATAGATCATGCTTCATTTTCTAGGAGGGGTATATACGCGCGCTGAAACGGCGAATTTTTCTCCCATGCGCTCCCAACTCACCTAGCCTACTACTCGTGAAAACTCCACTTTCACCACAAACTCACATGTACTTTCACGCGACTGAAGCGGATACGACCCCCCTCCTATAAACTCAACCAGGTACGACCCCCCGTTGTTACTAGTAACAACGTAGGGTTGACCCTGATAGTGGGTAGGGCGTGGTGGCGCTGAATTTACAAGATAGGTATTGATTGAAAATTTATAGGAAAATATAAAATAAAATGAAAATATAAGCCCACTTTGATGGCATTTTCGCTCCATTGTTGTTGTATAAGAAAAAAGAGTCCAAAAGCTAGAAGATTGTCTCTAGCAACTCTTCCGGTTACTCGATTAGTTCTTGCCAAGATTATTTAGTGTTTATTTGTGGCCGCACTTGAGTTGGCGTTAGTATAAATAGAATTAAATGGCTGGAGTGGTAGTAAAGTTTACGGGCACTTGCGACAGAAGGGACGGTTTGGACAAATTAGATACACACTGATCAGGATATTAGGAGTATGATTCCGCTGAACACGACGTTTAGGAACGTACTGTTCGGAGAACCAGGAATTAGGGGTTAGCGGCGGACACATAATAATAAATCTATACTTCTATTATTCCTATTTTCTTTTTCTGCCTACTTTTCTTTCATTTCGGATTAGGTCGGAACTTAATTTCTCAATTTCTCAGTTTCTAATGAAGAAATCTTACTTGAAACACCATGATGTCAAAATCGACGTCCAATTCGTCGAATTAAAAACTCTATGGATCTATAAAAACAGTCACTGAACAACATAGCTGTCGCATTGTGCGATACGTTGAAGGCAATGGCGATGTGCACTATGTTGAATAAATACATCACAGAAATAAAATAAGTAATTGAATCAGAACACACCCACAGTGTCTCAAAAATTATGAACCGACCAAATATTTGGATTTAGCAAAGGTTTTTGGAGTTCACAGCATTTCCACTCCAATGTTCTTAGTTTTCCTGGTTCTCTAACTTAGGTGCTAACTTAGTTGGGGGGGGGGGGCACGCGGCGGCGCGGCAGTCTGCTCGCCTGGCATGTTCGGAAATCCGTGGGCCAGGGGGAGTGTAGGCAGTCTAGGGGGTGGGGGTGGGGGCAGTCACTTGACATGCGTGAAAAGCTGGAATGTTCGAGTTTACACTGTCTCGCTCGAGAGAGGCCCAGGTCAGCAGACTGAGCGACTGACACGACGCGGCCGCGATGCCCCCCCCCCAAACAAGCTAGCACGCTTTACTTTCATTTTCACAACGTTATATGAAAGGCTACACAAGTTAAAAAAAAAATTCTATGTTTATGTCATGCATGCATTTTTTTAATTTTGAATGGGAGTAACCACGATAAATACTATTTGACCTCCACTTCAATAAGCAAAGTGTTCGGCTGCGAGTCCAAACATTCACAACTTGACGAACGGCTTGAATTAATGTCTGGTTAGAAAGTTGTTCACATGTGATAGCTGATTTCTGGTAAATGATAGCTGTAATTAGTGACAATCGATAGAATACAACTGCAACAGGCTAATCATTTCATTGGCAGAAAACATTAACATTTTGTGAAGGCCGTCGTCACTTGTGGTGCATGGTCTGCAGCCGACACTTTCTCGCTTTCTGAAGGGGAGGGCAAGTGCAGGCGAAACTTCATAGTTTTTTGGCTTTTCACGCCAGTTGTTGCTTTTTCTAGACCGAAAATTGTACAATTGTCATAAACCTCCCCGCTTATATAGCGGTAAATTACTCTTGGCCGTTTCTTTTTCTAATCACTTGAACTCAAAAATTCAAATGGGATATTTATTGTTAACGACGTTGCAGCGTTCGCGAAATCGCCTCTGTACCACGGCGGCCAAAAATGCGATGAATAAGGGTGTCGTTCGGTAGTTTACACACTGCGGACCCCATTGTACGAAGCATGGGCAACGTACCCTTTAAGGTTTTTTTAAGAAACCGTCATCATTTATTCAATCAAATATTTTATTCAGTGATAACATTCGTATTTGTGTTTTCCGATTCGGACATCAGAGCAGCCAGTGCAGGAATGGGTAGAAAAGCAATAAAAAGCAATTGGATGTAGTGACTTAAGATTTTCTATGTGAATCGTGCGCCACATGGTGGTGGCACGCGGTCCTCAATTTGTGTAAAAATTTCATTGGCCGGGTTACAAATGTGATCCTTTGAGATTTATTGGAGGGCCAAATCAAAAGGCTTCACTCTTTTGCCGAGTCACAAAACCGAAGGGGACTACATTAGGGAAATTGGGCTTCGCCCAGGTCATTCTCACGTCCTAGGACAGTGCTCGTTGCAGCCCAAATATTACATGTTATTTGGGTGATATTCGCTGTGGCACATCGAGGAAATAGCATCGCGATATTCGTTGCCCACAGCGAAGAACGGATCGTGTATCTATCTCATGATTTCAGGAACTGCACACTGTGCAGATATGTATCCAGCTCGAGAACAAGATGTGTCTGAGCTCCGTGAAACCCGCGGAAAGATTGAAGAAATTATCAGGAAATGGTTGAACCCATCTGCTCCAAACGATGTGCAGACCGATAAACGGACAAATTTCCCAAGTAACATTGTCACGAGCTCTCCGCCTGCTCCAGTTGAAGTGACCACTGAGGACGCCCATCGTTCAATCAACTATGACAATTCTGAGAATAAGGCTACTGCTAACACTTCTGTCGGTGAGACTATCGTTATCTTCTGACCTACTTTATTAGGCAGTGTTCAGAGTTGGCGATCGTACACGCGACTAGGCGATTGGGTGATCACTTGGTGGGCGGAGCAAACAGTCGATACGTACCGTTTTCTTATAGCGCCTAATCGCCTAATCGATACGAATCGACATGTGTACTTTCCTCTTGAGTCATCGCCTAGTCGTCTGATCGCTTAGTCGCATGTACGAACGCCAACTCTAAACGCTGCCCTACTATCTTCAATTATGGAATGGAAAATAGATTATAGGACTACAAGGAAAACACACGAAGGAAATAATTTCAAATTAAAAAAAGACTTCAAGTAGAAAAATATTACCTTTGCAGGAAGCATGGTTTGCAGTGAGCTGATCATCTTCTTCACAGCGATGACCGTATTCATTCGGCCAGCATTTCTGCTGTAGGGGAGAATCAGTTGAATATGTTTGAAGTCGTTGTCTTGTGATGAATAAATATCGATGTCTGAAGAACAACTTCGTTGATTCGTAGTTTAGAACTGACCCGATCTTCATATTTGACCATCATGCAGAATATTTACTTTCAATTTTTCGCTCCTGTCGAGAACAGTGAAATATTCACAGGAGGAATACACGATAAGAACGAAGGTCAGGGAAGGGGAAAACTGGGAGACAGGCAGACCCCCTGAGGGTGCTGACCGGCAATTGGCAGCGAAAGATCGACCTTGGCGATAGCATGGCTCATTCTTGGTGCCTTTCTCGGGATTGGGCCCTTCAAAATGGTTTCTTCTTCATCCCTGCTCCACTGACCACCTCTACCCTTATTTCCAATGAGCACTTTTTACCGTAATTCTGCCTTCAAACCGAACTACAGGTTTTTTCAAACCAAATCTACCAATGTTCTCTTTCAAGCAATCACCGGACTTGGAGAAGTTAGGGCACGTGCCAGACTTCGTTTCCAACTGCTTTTGACCGACACACATACTCTGATGGTAAAAGGGGACATCTCGGGAAGCTGTAGATCATGTAGTACTCCTTACAATGAAGCTTCCAACGACAAAGTTTCAGATTCACATTCCACGATCCTTTGACGCACAGTCCATCTTTTCACGCACTCAACTTGCTTGGGCAGGTGTCAGACTTTGCGTCAAATTACTAGCGAACTGCGCGAGTTCGCGAAGTTTGACATCTACTTCGGATGGGGAAACGGGGGGTGGCATATAGCGAGCCCTGTGGTTCCATATACAGGGCTCCCTATACGACCGTCTTAAAGGCTGAAATGTGCGAGTTAAATATCTTCAAAGGGACTCGTTACGTCATAGTTGTGGGCACAGTTCCATCATATTGCACCTACCGTATTCAAAAAATCGGCATGCCCTCCCGATTAGCATTGCACCTAGACTTCAATCAAGGAAGAGGGAATATGGGTGTATAGCTATGTGATCAAATAATTACTCGAATATATTGCCGTCAAGGATTCCTGAAACCTGCACCCTTACCTGCCACTCCAACAGCAACTCCGTTTCCACACCTATACTTGTCAAGGTTCCAACGAAGGATACTTCCAAAGTCATAAAATAGTCAACATTTGAGACGGTGCAGATCTGAAAACAGAAAATGGCCAGCATTCCACTAGATAAGACGCTTTCATAGTTTCGAAGGGTGCTATACAAGTAGGGTGGGCACGACGCATTTTTAGAACAGAAATGTATGTAAGGCCGATGTCAGACTTTGCGAATTCGCTACTAGCGATTCGCGCGATTCGCTAGCGTCCGCGGTCGCGTTGCGGTACCAGCCAATTGAGTGATTCACTGGCCGCGACGCGACCGCAGACGCTAGCGAATCGCGCGATTCGCAAAGTCTGACATCGGCCTAAGTGGGACTGCTGCCCGCTACTATACTGTCACGAGAATCGGGGAATTCGTGAGCCAGGGGGAGTGTAGCCAATCTAGGGGGTGGGGGTGAGGGCAGTCACTTGACATGCGTGAAAAGCTGGGCGTGCCCACCCCACTTGTATAGAGCCGTTCAGTAGTATTAGTTCCTGCTGCCTATAGTAATCCATTACTTTGTAGGGGAAGAAGTCGAGTGGGTGAATCATTTTTTATCTGGTGGGAAAATTGAATTAGGTGAGCATTCATTCTGAACGTTTGAAGTAGAAGATTCAACCTCCCCCCCCCCAAGTACAATTAGACCCCATTTAGACCCAAGATAAAAAGAAAATGATCAATAAATTCATATGGATAGAAAACGAAGGAATCTGTTCTTAACAGAGACAAGCAGTGACATGAAAAAGAATCAATGAGACATGGCTCTCGGCTGCCCCACATTTCATACATAGATCAATGGCCTAACCTCAATTTACCCCTAAAACGAAAGGTCGCCAATTTGGTAGGATCAACAGCAATCTTTCTCCTCAACAGCTACTGATATCATCCCTTCTCTCCTTCATTATCATCATCGCTTGCTAAATTCTACTTTTTTGATCTTTATACATCACTGGACCCGTTTGTATGGATCGATGATAATAGCCGGGAATAGAATTGATGTGTCTGCAAAGAAAAAACAACCAAATTTCTGATTCGGGTTCAAGTTTTCACCTTACCTTCCATACTCTTGCTCAGACTAGCTAACGTAGATAAAAAAAAA